GAGCGTCGTAACGAAGCTGTAACGAATACCGAAGTGGAAATTACGCAAAACACGGTCTATCGATTGCCCTGTGCCCGATGTGTATATTTCGTGGAACCCTCGAACGAAGAAAGGAACGCGTCGGATCGATTCGGCAGCCGGGAGAATTGCGCGTAAAAGTCGTAGAAGGGATCTAATCTGTATGTATATGGCATGTAAATTTAACTTTGCCCAGCGTGCAACATTTAACACGCAGTTAGATTTAATAATCGGCCGACGATGACGCTGTAGTTTCATATTTGCATCGTATTGTCGTAACCGTAACGCGATTCGCTATTGTTTACTTGCAAACTGGCAAATCGGTTTAACGAGCACAAACAGGGTAGTTAGGGGAACAAAAGCGATCTAGGCGCGAATACTTGAACCCCGTCTGTTCTCGATCATTAATCTTCCTTTACCCTTATCCCTCATACGTGCACCTGCAGCGATAAATTCGATTAGATCGGGCGACGGGAAAACAGGGAATCCCATGCCGCGTTTATTCTTAGCGGCGCGCGCGTCGAGGACAAATCGAGGATCGGAAAACTCGAGCACAATGGAAATCGACGAGCAACGCGAGAAGCAGGCGAGCAGGGTAGGCAGAGCGGCGGAAAAGAAACTAGGCTTGCTAAGTAGATTTAAGAATCGCGTCACTGTTGCACAGTGGTCGGTGAGTCGCTTCGAGCTTGAATAGAACTCGGAACTGTGGCGAAGACAAGGGCCATTATGTCGGCACGTAAAGCGACGTCAGCCAAAGCTCGAGTGTCCGTTCTTTCTTGCATCTCCAGCCAGCTTTCGTTCTCTTTCTTCGTCTTTCGCGATGTCGAGCTAGCCGTACACCGGTACCGCCATCCAGTCGCGCCCTTCGTTCTGTTCTTCACCTATTTTCTACTTTTTCTTCTTCTTCTACATTCCCGCGGATCCCCACGTTCGGCAGGTCATCGGGTTTCCCACCTTGGAAAACCTACGGACCCTTCGAGCTTTCCTCGAGACTTTGAAGGAAATATCGCCACCCTCGGAGAACGTAAATTTTATCGGTGTCCCGTCCGATGTAGCAACGCGGAGAGCCGTAATTAAATTTGTCAAGCGTAGTTGTTGGAAAGTTGCTAGAAAAAGCCGATGTTTCCTAGCCTCTTGACCCCGCCTTGCGGCGTCGATCGTCGACGACGAGTTCGTTTAGCGCGTGACTTTCGAAGCTACGTAAATTTCTCGATTTATCGCTTAGGGTGAGAGTAAACCGTGATTAAATACGCCAAAGTCACTCGCGTTCGAACTTGCAAATTTTTCTATTTGCTCCTTGCCTCGTGCTCCTTTTCGCTTGCTCGCCGAGCAACTCGGCGAGCAGGCGGGCAGACGCGAGATGCGAAGATCGATCGAGTCTGTTAAAAACTTTGCAACCTGGCTTATGTGCACGACGGATTGCAGTTGGAAATCTCGGAAAAGTTCATTTGGAAACGAGACTAGCGAAACAGCACGTTCCTGCAATTAGATCGACAAATGGACGGTATGGATCTATAGATCAAGCCCCGTTCGTCGAGACACGGAATTTCTCCCTCAACTTTCCGCCGTTTAATTACTTTTGTTCTTTCGCGACCCCCCGGAGGAGTGTGATTAAACTTAAAACTATTATCAACGCAACGCGAGTTTAAACGGTGCAGTTTAGCTCGCAAATGAAATGAATTAAAGCGGAACGTTCAGCTCGCGAATCCGGATTATCCTAAGAATTGGCCGAGGCACAAAAGCACCGATATTTCTTCGTTCGTGCTACAAAGAGTTATCAGCGAGTGCAGAGTGAATAAATGCATTTTCCGAGTATGGTCTTCGTTATCGAGAATCCTTAGTTTGCTTCGTAGGATGTATTGTTGCCGTTACAATACCGTTTCGGTATTAGGTACAAGCGATACATGCATCGCCGTCTGCCGCTATCTGCATCTAGCATGCTCTAATTCACGCTGCGTTTGATAAGCAATAAATTACACCGGTGCCTTCCGACGAAGCCGGAACAAACAACGCGTCCAACAAGTATTATGATCGTGCGTGGATGCGCGAGAGAATCGCCGTCGAAACGGAACGAAACGTTCAAAAATTGATCGTCCACTTTCGATGCTCCTCTATATCGAGCACGTTCCGCCATTCACTTCTTGCAACACCCCTTTTTCATACGGCCGAATCAACCGGCACGTGAATGAAACCACTCGATAGATCTGACGTAGTGCCAGACGTAGAGATGTTTTCACCCGGAGTACATGGCACAATTTCAAATTTCGTGCTCTGGGAATTACCCGTTTCCATCTAATCCACGATTATACCAGTCGTTCCGCAGCTCCCTACGAATCGATGATACCGAGGGACGAAAGGATGGAGGTCAGCCCGTTATGAAACGGAAGAAAATGACTCGGGATGGAACAGGAGCCCGGTATAATCAAGGGTAATTCTATTCCAGCCATCTTCTCTTCCCGGCACAGAAAGATGGCTTCCGTTCGAAACAAATACAGACGGGATTTTGATGGAAAATGTATGTACCACGAGGGTTCTGAAACGAGGGAG